ATTATATACAAATATGGGGAGATGCATTTGTACTGTGGCTGTTCAGAAACACAGCCTCCTATGCATTCAGTCGTGCTCCTCTAATAGGACAAATCCCCGTGTTTGCATAACAATAATTACATCAATCATGTTTATTGTAAAGATTAGGGGCCTGTTGTTCTTACAGGTGACTCACGTTGAAGACACAGTCCACAGTGGTCTCAGACCTCTAGAAGGTGGAAGTGAACTAATGCACTTTTGGATTAGATATAGGTAAAATTAAATAAAATTTTTGTCTAACAATATTATTTGATGTTTATTTTGGAATCCACTCGCTGGCCGAATTGAACGGTTTGGCCCACTGGCCAAGAGTTGATAATCACTGCAGCTGATCATAACGTGGTAGCCTTTCCCATAGGTTTAGGTCTGTAGTGAACTACACTAAATTCATTCTTATTATTAAAAAACGCTGCTAAATCATCAAGTCTTATATAATAATCATGGCCAATCAGAACTGTGGCCCTTTCAACGGCTTTTGTAATTATTTCAGCCTGATAGGTGAGAAGCATTCATTACACACACTGAACCTTCCACTCCACTCATTATTTTGAGATAAAAAAAACCAAAAAACTTTGTAGCTCAAGAAGAAGCTAAGACATTTATCTGACCACTGAGGCTCTCTGCAGCCGGCCTCCTCCTTTATAAGAAGTCATCTCTTGTCCTGGCAACTTTGTGTGACCTTGTGTGGCTGAATAAGACTGTAAAATTGATTCAGCTCCTGTAATAAAAGAGCACACACATTATCAGCATTCTAATTATAATTAATACAGGCAGCAGAGGCAGAGCCATTATTTACGACGGAGGCCCGTGGTAAGCAAACACAATAATAATCTGCTCCATATTTTTATGGAAATGTTGATGAATGGCTCCCTTTTACACAAAACACCAATGGAACGTTTCTGTGGCCGAATATTACACTGCTACTGCTTTTTTTTTTCTTCCACCCCATTCACCTTCTGCCTTCTGCCTGACCCTCTGTGCTAGCTGTTACAGTTTAGTCCAAAAATACAGCAGAGTAAGTCGTTATTAAATGCTTTGATTTAGCTTTTGTCATTATTTAATTTTCACTATCAGGTCATCATGTAATTTAAACTTTATATTTTTCTTTAAAATCTTTCTTGTAAAACCGTGACCTTTCTAATCTAATTATCCTCATCTTCTTCCTCACTATTTTGACCCTGATCTTAGAATGAGAACTTTTTAATCTTTTCATCTTTTGTTGAACTAATATTCTTTATTACTACTTTTTATGTCATAAATGTATCGCTCTCTAATATTGTCCAAGTTTCGACTGTGTCACGGTTTATATATAAACATACAATTCCTATATAAAATATTTTTATCATATTGAAAATGTTAACTATATTTAAATACCTGATTTAGACTTTAGACTAGACTTATTTTTAAAAAAAAAAAATTTTTTTGAAAAATTGAAGTGGAATTTTTTTATATCAAAATATCACTTAGTTTTATAATTTCACAAAAATACATTACAATTAGATAATACTTTTTTACAAGATTAGAAAAACGGTTAATTCTCCATCCTGTCAATATGTGGTCGACTGGACTGAGGCGTCCTTTCTCCCATCGTATTATTATTATTAGGTGTCTGTGTTACTTATGCCATTCTCACTGTTTGATCATCGTGGAGCATCCCTCCTAATTTTGCAGACAGTTGTTTTGCAGTCCTTATTAATTCTTCTCACAAAATCCTTGATTATTGTCCAATGCTTCCGTCTGATATATCTGGCTCTGTTTGTCTGTTTGACTCACTCCTCCACTGAGCAGCCTGCCTTCCTTCTCAATCGCCTGTTTTGTTTCCCGTTTTAATGAACAGTTGGATTCTTTTATTTCTCTACAAGTGCTGGATTTGCCTTATCACCCCCCGTCCCTTTGAGGGTTGCCAATTGGTTTTATCCATGGATGTATCATTTCTTAGCCTTCCTCTTTTTTTCCCCACAAAGAGAAAGAACCACTCTGTCAACAAGCCTCTCCGGAGCCAGAGATTAAAAACCTCAACATCACCTACCTTCCAGCGCTACTCCCAACTGGTTTGAGTAAAACTCAATTAAACTTGTCCCCACTGAATTCCACATTACAGTACATTAAAGGGAAATTCTTCAAGCGTGATGACAAAGCTCAAATCTAGCTTCAGAGCCACTGTTCAGGCACTTTTCCTAAAACGACGTAGCCTTAGCCTCGTGTCACTGCTAAAGGCGCTGACTAGAAAAGACTGAGAAAAAGGTTTATTCTGACTTGTGAGGAAAAACAAACTTCATGATTTATTTATTTACAGATGTGTGTGATGATGTGAATGCAGCTGACAAGGCCTGACGTTATCATTCAGCTGCCAAGTAGGTAAAAAGGAGCTTATTATTGATAAAGAAAGAAGGAAACAGAGATAGTCAACAGGGTGACATTAGTGTCTATGTCATCCTTAAGAAAGATGTTAATCTTTGAAGACGGATTTCTGATCTCAATATTAGAGTCTACTTGGGTCAAAGCTAACTATTACACCACCAACGTACAATCTGTACAATGGGTGAAATCGAATTCTAAATGTAATTTTTCACACTTTATAATTTGTTTGTAATAGATGCATGATTTGAGATTGAGTGAAATCAATAACAGTTGTTGGTCAACACAAGAGACCTGGCCATGCAGGGATTGGCACGGGCAATACCCCAGTCAATGGGCTATAGGCGGTCCATAACCCCCAGTTTGATTTTTTATTTTATTTTTCTACCAGAGAGTATTTACAACTGGTCAGGCAATGAAACTGTTTGGCCATAGGTTCACTTACTTGGACAAAGCTCCACATTGACATCCACCGGAATTCCTTTATACGTTGTTCTCCAAACAAACAAAACATTGAGTAGTTTATTTTTTCCTGCTTTTTGCCAGTTAACTGGCAACCCAGAAAATGTAGAGATTTTTCCAGAAAAGCAGAACATAAGGGAAGAAAGGGAGGTTTGCCTGAGCGTCAGCCAGGTCCTCTTTACTGCAGGAGAATGTGGAGATGCACTCCTCCTCCTCCTCCTCCTCCTCCTCCTCCTCCTCCTCCTCCTCTTCACGCTCTTTCTTGTTCTCCCCCATGTAGGAATCCCTCCCCCACAACCCAAGTATCTAAGGGCTGCTTTGAACCATCTCAGTGTTGTTTCACACTGTGAATTGTCTGTGTGTGTGTGTGCTCATTTCAGCGTCAGCTGCTCAAAGGTGTTTTCGTGCTGAGATGAGTGGATGAGGTGCAGTACATATTTTGGGCCAAACATGCCCATCCTTTGACATTAGCGGCAGGCTCTGACTCTAACTGGGCTACAGCCCAAGATCGCTGCTTCTCGTCTCCGTCGCAGCCTCCCTTCACACCCGCCAACCCCCAACCTCTCCCCTCAATCCTCTCTAACACATGACATGTGTCACCACCACCGATCTGCACTGGAAGATAGGAGAAGTTGAAGGTCAGGGCGAATCCCCAAAGCCGAGGGAAGAGACAGAGGAAGAAAAATCTCCGAGAGTTTCACACTGATGGACTGTTTGAAAAGTTCATTTTTCTTTCATACTTAGCATATTTCATGGTGCTATAATGTGAGCACTATAATGTGAAATCTCCATTAACCAAAGATGGCGGCTGCACTAATGCAATGGATATATCAATTTTCTCATTGGATGGAAAAAATAGTTTTTGTGGGGCCCGGTCCTCTTTACTGCAGGAGAAGGTGGAGATGCACTCCTCCTCCTCCTCCTCCTCCTCCTCCTCCTCCTCCTCCTCTTCACGCTCTTTCTTGTTCTCCCCCATGTAGGAATCCCTCCCCCACAGCCCAAGTATCTAAGGGCTGCTTTGAACCATCTCAGTGTTGTTTCACACTGTGAATTGTCTGTGTGTGTGTGTGCTCATTTCAGCGTCAGCTGCTCAAAGGTGTTTTCGTGCTGAGATGAGTGGATGAGGTGCAGTACATATTTTGGGCCAAACATGCCCATCCTTTGACATTAGCGGCAGGCTCTGACTCTAACTGGGCTACAGCCCAAGATCGCTGCTTCTCGTCTCCGTCGCAGCCTCCCTTCACACCCGCCAACCCCCAACCTCTCCCCTCAATCCTCTCTAACACATGACATGTGTCACCACCACCGATCTGCACTGGAAGATAGGAGAAGTTGAAGGTCAGGGCGAATCCCCAAAGCCGAGGGAAGAGACAGAGGAAGAAAAATCTCCGAGAGTTTCACACTGATGGACTGTTTGAAAAGTTCATTTTTCTTTCATACTTAGCATATTTCATGGTGCTATAATGTGAGCACTATAATGTGAAATCTCCATTAACCAAAGATGGCGGCTGCACTAATGCAATGGATATATCAATTTTCTCATTGGATGGAAAAAATAGTTTTTGTGGGGATTTAAAATTCATGTAATATTCTTTTTTTTTTTTCTATTTCACAGCACAATAGCCAGTGAGGGACTGAAGTGATTATACACAGCCAGAGTCAAACTCCTAGGCTCTTATCTATTAGAGTTTAAAAAATCAGCAGAGCAGGGTGCATGGAAATCCCGTAACCATGACAGAGTTGGTTTGGAAGCCAAATATGTTTGATGAGATGAAAAAATAAATAAATTAAATACTAAGTATTTGAAAAGAGGGGTATGACAGTGCTGACCTAGACAGTCTCAAATTTCGGTTTCTCTTTTGTGGTGGAAGACAAAGATTTAGTTTTTTGCGACCAAACAAAACTGTTGTTGGAATGATGTGGGAAAAGCAAACTTATTAAACAGTGGGATTCTGGACAGATCAGGCAAATTAAAACACTCTAGTTTTCTGCAGCGTTTATTCAGAAGTTTTAAAAATGCCTATACAGCCTCATGTGTTAAAGTTGAATCAGAGTATTGCAGCTTATACCATAGATACCATAGATACCATTTATAACATGAAAATCCCTGTATTCAGTTGTTTTTTGTTGCTTCTTTTCAGGAATTGTTGAAAAGGCAGAGGGCATCAGAGAGTCATCCTGGAGGTACAACTTATCTGGTAAGTACTGAGATTTGTTTTTTCACGTCTTAAAAATCCAAATAACCAGCATTAGCATAAGCTTTAGTTGCAATCCTGGTTTGTTTTTGCCAATAGGCATGAGTACATGAAAGTATGCAGTTTAAAGACGGCATGTGATGTGTTGTTGGCACAAATCTTTTCTCATTGTCTTTGGCCTGAAAACATTAGTACGTACGCCTGGGAATGCACTAAAGGCCGCGCTACTTTTGGCCACTGAGGGCTAACGATGCAAATCTCCATTTGTTACAAGAAAATATTTGTTCGGTCAAGATGTTGCCATGCAAATCCAATCTTGTTTTCCATACAAAGTCCTTATTTTCTTAGGACCTGAAGCTAAACATTGAGCAAACTGTTAGGTAAAGGTCACAACATGTTGTCATGACTCCCACTTTTCTAAGCTTCAGTCTTCAAGAATCCCTCATTTCAAGATGTGTGTGCATGTTTGTTGGCCACTGAACCTGGTTCTGTGATTTGTCTGAATGGACAATTACTTTTGATATCCCATGATCCTTAGCAGGATAACGCTGTTTATGACGTATTGTAGAATTCCTAATATAGAAATGTCCCAGAATTGATTTGTTTATAAGTTGCTGAAGTAAAAGGATCTTGGTTTACCTCAGGGCAGTGTTGCTGGATGTATCCAGAGAATAATAAGAGTTGTGATCATATTTAAGATGTTGGTGAATGTCAAACCAAACAGCAATGACCTGTATTGCAGTATAAAATAGTATTACACTCAAATACTGAATGTGAAAACCTCCTGTGGAAGGCTACAGTACAGTATGTGGCTAATTCATGCTAATTGCCTCAACAGCAGGTGACAGGGGCAGGGGGAGGAGGGGGTGAACGTCTTGGTGTCTTTGTATACTCATCTCGAGCACCTTATTACTTTTCTTTGAGCAGTTACAAGAAAAAAGCGGAATAAATTTCCTTTGTACAACTTGTGCTCAGGGAGCATGACCTCCTCCCAGGAAGACAAGGTTAGTTTGGAATCAGAGTGTGATTCTTCTGATTTGGTCCAGCAGAGATGTTTTTGTTGTCGTTGTACCTCGTCTGACAACTTGTCCCATCAGGATGCGACTGAGTGAAACAATCTGACATGTGTTTTACATATCAACTGCCAGGCCTTTCATTTCAGTGGACTTTGCGTCTTCACTGACAACATTTTTATTGACGTCTAAAGACAGGAAGATTAGACACGGTGTCTAATTAGTCTATTTCTCCACCATGGTGTTTACACACCTGAAGCCCCGTGACAGGCTGGGGATCTGCACAAAGACAACAGCAGATGAAGACAGCGTTCAGCTCAGTTGTTTGTGCCAAAGCAGAGCTAGAGAACAGAGGAAATGAGGAATTTAATTTTTTTTTTACAAGATAGAACAACCTGGTACGCTAGAACGTATATCCATTAACAGTTACTGGGCTCACACAGAGTGACGAGATGTGTGCCATTAGCCCTCAAGTCTGTGAAGTAATCGTTAAAAGTCAGCAAAAAAACCCAAAAACAAAACAAAATAAGACATAAAATAATCAGGCAATAAAGTTAGCTGAAATAAAATGCAAAAATAAGTAAAATTTGCCAAGAAATTGCTTCATCTTCCAATCTGAAAATAGTTTTCAACCATGTCTTATACCAAATAAATATATGATAATTACATGGATTGTTGAACTGTTTATTTTATAGTTTTAAGTCAATTCATTAAAGCAATATCTTTCATAAATGAATACTGTCAGACACACTTATATACAGTAAATCAGTGAACACTACTGTAAAGGTACCATCTGTAAATGCATCTCTTAGTTTTACTAGTGAAGAAACACAGTAAGGAGGAGACGATGATGGATGTGCCTGGTGTCCAAGTGTACGGAGGAGTGGGATGGGAGGGCCTGCTAAATTCTTGACATGAAATATTACCTGCAGCTCTGGACAGAGCAGACCTGCGTGGATGGCAGGAGAGATAGCATCCATCCTTTCAGCGCCACAAACAAACAAACAAACAAAAGCTCTAAGATCTCTGACCCAACAAAGGAAGTACAACTGATAAGTTCCACTTTCTTCCCCTTCTCTTGCTTCATCTCTTTGAATAGCCTTTTCCTCACCTTGCCACCACTGTGCCCTTCTATTAAAGGTAGTAATGGCTGCCAACTTCCCTCAGGCCTTTTTTTTAATATTTGTCACTCATGAAGGAAGGAGTGGGAGGGAGGGAGGCAGGGAGATGATAAATCTTATTTTTGCCAGCTAAGGGCTTCTATCTTCCAAACAGGATAAAATCTGGCTGAAAAAACACTGCTGTGCGCATTAAGAAGCTGTGGGTTTAAGCCATGTCCGACGTGATCAAACCAGGATTTATGAAGCATCATAACTCCCAACAACATCCAGGGGCTTATTAATTTTATATGTTTCTGTCCAATCCCTGATATTCTTAGCTTTGACAGTCACTCAAGATAAGCCAAAAGCATCCTGACAGGATGGAGGGTGTGTATATTTTTCACTGTTCTGCCGCTTCCCCTCCAGTTGAATTGGTTTCAGTAGAAACCTTGAATCTGCCGCTGTGTGATTTGCACTCAGGCTTTTGTCTTCACTCCCTACTTCCTAATTTGTAATGGACCTTAAATCAGACCTGGACTCTGCTGAGCCAGTCACAGACAGAGAGGGAGAGAGATGTGGGGAGGGTTTCTGTGAGAATGACTTCATATAAAGAACTGCCCATACGTTTAAGGTGGCTGTACATTTACTGCACACTCACTGTCGTTTCCTCCTTTTTCTTTGTTATTGTTTGTTATTAGTGTTCATTCAACACAAATGTAGAGAACTAGAAGCTCAGTTCAGGACGTTTTATAAGATCTGTGTATTAAAGGTCTCTGGGTGCGTCAGGAGTGACACTGCCTCTGCAGCCAATGGCAGCGCCTCTGTGCCACACTTTTGCCCTTTCTTCAAATATTTGAAAAAGAGAGGTACACACTGTATATATTTATTGTATTTGATCTGCCCTAAACATTTGCACATTAGTATGGGCAGTAAAAAGCAGAAGGACAGAAAAGAAAATAACTGTTTGGCCCCGATATCACACATGAATTGGAATGTAATCACCATTTCTGTCCTGTCATTCTGTTTGGTCCGATATGAAAAATCTAAATGCTGATTTGACTTATTTTAACTGGGACACAACTGTCCTCTACCCTGTGTGGTCCAAAGGAAACAGTGAGGAACAGTAGAGGGAGCGTCAGAAAGGAGCAGAGACTTTGATTCCTAGTGTAATGATGGCATAGGTTCACATCAGTATATGAACAGAAGCAGTACATGGAAGAGGAGGAGCAGAGGTGACAACACCAGCTCTGACTCTCCTGACAGCTGCTTCACATCCCTGACATGCTGTGCACCAGCAGAACAGAATCCTGACAGACTGTTTGAAGATAAATCCACTAACCCCCCCAACCATGATTTCCTTCACATTATTATTATTATTTTTTTACCAAAGTAGCTACCTTTTAAACTGTATATGTGGAGCATTAAGGAAATGGTTATAAGCAGTTTGCATGTACAGTATTTCTTGATAGTCTTTGTACTTCCAAATTCTATTTATTATATTGAATTCAATAAATCTGCAGCTTTTGGTATGAGGGATATTATGGAGGGTTGACCAGAGGTTGACCTGGTATATGTAAATGATCCTGATAATATACTGTAGGTTTGATAATCTATGATGGCAAATAGTTCCTCCCTCTGACTGATCATTCATAGTTGCACTCTCTCTCTCTCTTTCTCTCTCTCTCTCTATATATATGTCTATATATACATTTTTTTTTTTCTGTGATAGTCACAGTGGAATAATAAAGATTATGTTTTGACATATGATTCATATTTTTTTTCGTATGATATGATTCATCTTACAAATATATTGGGGCCATAAACAGATTTTACCACACCGTGCATAAATGTTTGGTTAATCACATTAACCAAAAATTTACACACACTCTTCATTCAGTGTTCGATATGTTTTACTCCTTGTACAAAAATAGAACAGTAGCGAGATAAGCGTTTTATCCCTGGTGAGGGAAAATAACCGACTTTTAAATCCCCCCCCCCCCGTGTTTTACCTTTGTATACTGTATGTACTTTCACTTTTATTTCGTATTCATCCCAGCCACAGAGACTGCAAAGACAGTGATTGACCACCTTGTAAAATTCTGATATATTTTTAAGATCTCCTAAAGATCTCATACGGTAGAACCACAGCTAAGATTCAAGCTTCGTTTTTGTGTTCATCTGCCTTCACTTCCCTTCAAACCGTCTGGCTTTGTACATTTGAGTACAAACAAGCTACAGTGGCTATCACAGCCAGCAGTCTCTGACTAAGACCCTGGCACACACCGTCCACCTCTAGCCCCAGTGAGTGAAGCACACAGCAGTGAGGAGGCAGGCAGGATGTAATCTCCAGGAGCTGTTGATTCAAAGAAACACACAGGGTTTGGGTCAAAGGGATTAAAATGGTGGAGGTACTGGTTATAAGAGGCACAAGGGCTGCAAAATAGTGGCAGGAGCAGCGGGAGCGATGTTGGAGCCACCCCATAACAGAGAGTAGGATTACAGGGGAAACGGTGCTAGGACGGGGGAAAGTGCCACTGAACGGAACGCAGCATTAGCAGCTGGTTTTCAGCACTGTACAGGTTCAGTGAGCTCACAGCATCAGAGGAGGAGGTCATGTTCTCTGTGATGGTCAGCTGGTGCTGGGAAACATGGGTAAAACATGGAGGAAAAAGGCTGAACTGTAGAGTGAAGAGGTCAAAGCTGCCAAGCTGCCACCTCTCTGTGATTGTTGTCTGAAAAAAATCTCTAAAGTTAAACAAAGGAGACAGAGCATGCTGGGAAATACTGAGCTAAGAGGTTTGGATTTAGACCTTCATGCTTATGCAAACCTCACATGGTTTGGATGGCGTTCCATCAACAAAACATGTCAATCACCTCGCTGTGAAAGAGGCAGAGATACCAGACTGAAACCTATCTCACCCAGACCCAAATACTGCACTCACAGCTTCCATTTCACAGTCTGTGGGAGAGCGGGGTTTGAAAATCTAACATCTCACACTTTTTTTTTTCAAACCGGCTTTCCAAGGAGTCAGATTCCGGTTACATTTCACATTGAATAGACCTGTGTTTCCAGCAGTCTAGCCCACTTCTAGTACGCTGGCTGGTGGAGCAATGACAGATTGGTTTCACTTTCTGCACCAGGGAGCACAATGGAGTGGCTTTGACAGAGTTAAGAGAAACAGAGCATTGTTGCACCTCAACCCTCACCCCCCCATCACTAATCTTTCTCTTAACCACCCTTCCACCCCCTCTCTCCTCTCTCTCTTTCACTCGCACTCAGAAAATGAATGGTCCTGTCTGACCTGGACGACAGTGATGTCTAGTCTTCTGCACTACTGTACCTACAGCACACCTGTCTACCATCGAACTCACTGTTGTAGCACACTTTAGTTTGTTGTGTGTACTATAGACGTACACACAACAAACACAGACAGAGGAAACAGGGTCACCCAGCAGACGGGCAGAGGTCAAGAGAGTCCACACACCAGAACGGCTGGTGGAGGAGACACAGTTCAGTTTCACTACTTAAAAAATGAGAAGCTAAAGCTAACGTTCAAAATCATGAAAACCACTGCTTCACAGGAGGTCACTTCCTGCTTGTATGTTGGCGATCAGTGTTATAGTTGTGGCTTGTTTGGAAATTTGAGGGACATCACGATGAGGAGCAGTTCATGATGCACAGACCAGACCTATGCAACTGACTGACCAATCGCAGCAGACTTGAGAGTGAGTGAGAGACTACAGGTTACTATAAAAAACCCGAATCATCCCTGCTGTCAATTAAATACTGTAGACAACCTGCGTTTACAATCATTGAAATATGTCTTCTGTGTAACTGGTTCTCGCTCGCCACACTTCAACCTGGTGGAATTCAAACCAGCGATCCACTGATACCAAGAGTTCCTTGCTGAACCCATAATAAGCGTCTCCACGTCCTTACCTATGACTTTGGACTTTAAAAAGGTTCAAACACTAAGATCCCTTGCCCAGATTGTGTGATAAAGAAACACTGGAAGAGATAAAGGTTCCATTGCCAGAGGTTGTGTGCTCTTATGTTTTACCGTGTGTTACAATGAGAAAAGAAAAAACGTGTGATATCACACTGATACGGCGTTCTAAAGACTATGGGCTGTATTTTCTCTTCATGCAGGTGAATGTACAATCAATAAAATGGATTAGCAGCAAAGCTATGTATAAAGGTTATCACTGAGCTCTCCTGCACCAACGCAGAGGCGACCTCACCAAACAATTTCATAATGTTTCGAGGTTATTTTTTTTTCTCAGTGTAAATCTGATTATGTTTTCCTCGAACCTAAAATTGATTTGCAGGGATATATGTTATCAAAGGAAAAATGGACTGTGCTTTGCTAGATCCTATAAGACTAGGATGTAATTTCTTCTCTCTCTATCCTTTGACTTGGTCGTAGCAGAGTACCAATTAGTTTTTTTTTGTTGTTTTGTTTTTCCTTCCACTATCAAGTTCTATTTTCCTAATCTGGTGGGGTTTTTTTTCCAGTCCATATGATCATTGTCTCTTTCTACCTCAGTGCATCACAGCTCGACTTAGTTTCACTTGTTTAGTTCCACTCACTGCTGCTGCTGCTGCTGCTGCTGCTGCTGCTGCTGCTGCTGCTGCTGCTGAGTCCTGTGTCAACCCTCAGAGAGACTTTAACCGTGTGGTTTTCCATCAAGCTGACTGACGATCTGAACATCCCTCCACCCAGTGATTCTTCTATCTCTCTTTCTCCATCTCTCTCTCTCACACACACTGGCCCCAGCAAGCTTGAGAAAATACACCCCCTTCTTAAAGAAGGCAGCAGGGATGTGTAGAAAGGCCCCTCACCTCAGCTTCTGGTTTTTGTCTCTGCCTATCCCTTCACACACACACACACACACGGGGTGGGGGGTCTGACCATGGCATTCAAAAGCAGGGCTTCATCCTACAGTGCAGCAACAATGCTTTTCTCACCCACTTACCAGAGTAGAGATAGGGGGAAAGGCTGGATCAACCCTGGCCTAAAAGCTAGGGTTTTTCTTTCTCAGACACACACACACACACACACACACACACACACACACACACACACAGGATGGATTGTTTAATTATTGGCTGCAGATCTTGCATAGATTAAAGAAAAAACAAACTCTTGCAGAGGATTATTTTCATATCCTCAGAAAATGTTCATTGATAATGCCTTCAAGGCAGGAAGCTAAGAATTGAACTACTGTTCACAAGAGGAAATATAATCACATCAACTTGTGGTGATTAATGTATCAAATTGTGATCTTTCTTCCCCATCTGTATCCAACAAACTCAGTTGTACAGTGGCCTGCTCCAACTGTTAGCAACTCCAAAAGAAATCTACTTAATCATCAGAGAAGCCTGATATTTTAAATAATACACAGGCTACAGAGATGCTCAAGCAGAGGCTCGGGGCCTGATTGTGGCTCCAGGATTTGTTTGGTCCACTCGGTTTTTCCTCCAAATATTTTTTATGAATGCATTCGAATTTTAAGGATATTTTCTGTCACATCTTTTTAGCTTTTTGCTGAATTTCTAAGAAAATGATAATTATAATATTTTACCTGTATGATGTATTTTCCTTAATTTCTTCCCTTAATTTAATTTCTTGTAATTTCTTTCACATGATTTTCCCACAAAGAAGCTGATGTTGCTGAGGGGTTATTTCTTTTATAAAATTATTGAATTTTTAGTTAATGGTACAATTTTGCATTTTTTAGCTATTTCAAAAGTTTCTCCATGTTTAAATCTGCCTTAGATGAGGAAGTAAAAAAAATCAAAATCAAAAACAACGACATGTGTCTCTGAAGCCTGTGTGCTGCGACTGCCGTGTGTGTATCCTCCCAGACACACTTTCAGCCTCGCAGCATGATCAATACTGAGGCATTTCACATCATTGATTATACAATTATAGAGATGTTAAATCTGTGACACACATTCATGAAGGAGCTTTTACTGGTGAAGCAGCCTGTGAAGATGGAGAGGAAGAAGGAGCTTCCTCTTCATTTAGTTTTTTTTTCTCTCTCTCACTTTTTCAGACCTGGTGCTTAGAGTGAGCCCAGTGTAGTCCAGGTACTTCACTCAGATGATTATAATGCCACAAGGGTGCAATACATCACTCTTATTAGCCACACTGGAGCACAATGGTATCATAATTAATGGTCGCAGCAGGATTGAACACTGCCCTGACATGGAAAAGTGGGCCTGCTTAAGCTCTACAAGGCATTTAAATATGCAGAGTGAATGGCACAACCTGAAGCCTCATGCTCCGAGGACAGTCCACGCTCATTAGCCTCACACCCTACGTGGCACCGATACAACGACCCACACACACACTTACACACACAGACAGACACACACATCTAGAATACCCCCCCCCCACCCCCCAGAGACACACACATCTAGAATACCCCCCCCACCACCCCACCCCCCAAATTTTGCTGATTGTCCTGAAGCTTATTCCGTATTTATTCATACCAAATAGCTACAGTTAACAAACAAACATTGAACTAAAAATCTACAGTCTGGTGAGCGGAAGTTAAAAATGTTTGTTTGTGCATAATGAAGAGGAAAACCAGACAAGATCGACCAAAGACTGTTGGGCAGCTCACCACTTTCTCACAGCAACAATCGGATAAAATTTAGAAGCATTTAGCAACATGAGGTACCTGGTGATTAAATGCTCAATTAAAGGAAATTGTTTTAATTGACCAGTGTGCACTTCAGATATCAATTTATTAATTAGTTTAAATGAAATAACAATTCAGTTTTTATATAAAATTATATATATATTTTTTCAATTTTTTACCATGTTTAACAATGGTTTAAGTTCAAATCAAAGTTTTGCCTACGTTTTTAACAGTGTACCAACTTTTGTGGGGTTTGCATTTGTCAGCAGTCACTATGTAAATTTTTGGTAATAGTGTTTGGTTTGTGTGTGTCTGTGTGTGTGTGTGTGCGTGTGTGTGTGTGCTGCCTGTACTATAGTCTGTAGCACAGGCTGAGCGTCAGGAGAACAATGAACATAAAAGGCTGTCGGTGGGAGAGTCTGGTGCTGACGTCTTTCACGTGACTCTGAATGAAGCGACAACAAAGTGCATGTGTGTTTGTGCATGTGAATGTGTGTGTGTGTGTAGTTTACGAGTGAGACAAAAAAGAAGAAAAGAGAAAACAGCCTTTTTCAATATGTTGGAGAAGAAAAAAGAGAACATATTGTATGTGTGTGTGTGTGTGTGTGTGTGTGTGTGTGTGTGCACCTGCTATAGCTATACTTGTGGAAACATTTTGTCCTTGTGGAGTCAGTTTGTAGTTTGGATTAGAATTAGGGTCAGATTAGAGTTCGGTGTTAGATTAAAATTAGGGATGTGTTTGTAGAGGCACTGGTTAAGGTGAGGGCCGAGGAAGACTGAGGAAGACTGAGGAAGACTGAGGAAGACTGAGGAAGACTGAGGAAGACTGAGGAAGACGTCATGTGAACGGGAAGTCCTTACAAAACACAACAACCAGTGTGTGTGTGTGTGTGTGTGTGTGTGTGTGTGTGTGTCTGTATTCTATTATTTGCGTGAATGTCAAATAAAAAAACACTGCCCTTCGATTGACATGTGACTCTGAATTTGCTGTTCTTAACACACCAAACACACCACACTCCCTCCTCCTCCTCCTCCTCCTCCTCCTCCTCTTTCTTTCATTCCTTTCATTCCTCCCTGGCAATTTTACTACCTCTCTCCTATTGCTTATGTTGAGGCTTCTGCAAAAAAGACACGCTGGTGAACAGCCACCAAAACGCCTCTCCCATCCAGTCGGACCATACTGCGTTATCACGAGGCTCAATGCAATCAATTATTGCTGCAGTGGAATCATTAATAACTTCCTAATGAAAACGATTCTGTTGATCTCTGTTGTCTTTTAATTAAACATAATTAGTCGTCAGCTCGGAGCTGTGACGGGGAGTCCTTTAGGGTACTATTTTGTTTTAATACACTGATAATGAAATTTCTACATTGTGTTCCGTTGTTTAGTTATTATTCAGTCACACCATTTCGCTATGTTCCCAGATAACAGATAATCACCCTTTTGCCCTTTTTCGCTGCAGTCTGTGAGAGAGAGCGGGGTTGAAATGAACAATGACATTTTTGAACTGTGAGAGTGCTCTCATCTAACGGGTTAATGCCGCCTGCTGCCACTTAGCAGCGCAAGAAACGATGCAGTTTTCTGCTTCATTTCCTGGAGAAAAAAGAAGCTGTGAGCATCTTTGTAGAGCAAATCTCTGCAAGTCTAATTTTATTTCATAGGGGCAAAAAATTCTCATTCTCATCCAGATGCTGTGCTTCATCTCATGGCCCAAAAGTCTTCAACCTCACAGCAGTTGGGAAGAAGAAATGACGGCATTAGAAAAGGATTGAAGTGTGAAGATGGAGAGAATAATATAGAATGATAAAAAAACACAATGAGTTTGTCTAATTCTGCAGCATTTAAGCTCATGTAAAACTGTCGACTTACACTGGTCAGTATCAGCACTGAACATTGAGCCGGGATGCTCTGGAGACTTGTTGGACAAGCTGTATCTGAATGTGGTCTGAAATAAGAGGCTTAGAGTTGGAAAGTTGAGGTGATGAGTGAACGTCAGCCACAGTGAGTCACAGAATGTTGTCGTGATAACAATGTATATTTTCAGGCCCAGCTGTAGCTCTTGTGTATTGATGATATATAAAACAAATCCAAGCAACTTAGTTTTGATTGCTGTTGTAAAAAACAGGCACTAAAAGTTACGAGTTTGTTTGGTCCACTTCTCCAAATATGTTTTATGGTTTGCCTTAGGATTTTCAGGGTATTTTAGGCTAACTTTTAGCTGTAGTTCTGAGTACAACAGCTTCAGTGTATACACTTTTTTGCTAAATTTAAGCCATTTCTAGACAAATTATAAATATAATCTTTTACCTGTATATTGTATTTTTCTGTATTTCTTCCCTTATGTCTGTCTAACTTTGGGAACCACTTGTCAAAGAAGTAGGATTCATAGAAAAAAAAAACAAAAAAAAAACTTCCTTATAGCTCTGCATTAGTTGACTTAGTCAAAAAAAACAACAACAACAAATCTTTATGAAATATACGTTCATTGTTTTGTTTGCGGCTGCTTTGTTTCCAACAGTTGCTCAAATCCTTTCTTTAATTTTGAAAACCCTCAGAATCCCATTCAAGCAGCAGTTGTTATGAGACAGAAGAAACCTGAGGCTGAATCTGTGTCTGTGTTAAATCTCTCCTACTCTCCAGCTGTGTTGTTTATCAATCTGTTGTTTATGTGTAGAGGAGAAAAAAGTCTCCTCTGGTTTGTATCTCTCTCTGTGTTCCTGTCCATCATCCCCCCCGTTCTCCCCCTCTCTCCCCCTTCTGCTCCCCTGCATTACTGTAACATATAATTACTCTGCAGACTTGCTGCCTGTTTCTATAACTTCAGCTCTTCAAAGAAACTGTCGGAGTGTGGAGGAGAGCATTGTGGGAGTTCCAGGTGGATTTCTCGATAATGAGTTAGCGCAGTTAGTACAGTTGAGAGTTTTAGTAATGGCTGGCTGCTAAGGCTCTTGCTGGGAGTTTAATGTAAAACAAACAGGGCCATGCTGACAGCCTGGGAAAAACAGATATTGCACATTTCCCCACTTTC